CATAAAGATCCTTTCTAAACTGAATGTCTCATATACATTCTCTTAGTTCTTCTAAAGTACTCTTATAATGCTCTCTTTGTAACGCCCCGATTCTCGAATAACAATATATGGTTATAAACTCTCATGAATTCAAGGTCTACTCGACGAGTTGGTTGCCTGACTCGTCGAGTAGCAGCGGGTTTGGACCACGTGTTAAGTGACCAACTCGCTAAGTCGGAAGAGTGACTCGACGAGTTGGAGCTGGAAGGTAAAACCCTAATTTCCGGGGTTTGGCACCCTATTTAAAGAGTCATAAGCCACCTTCAGCCTCTTTACAGTCCCTTGAGAGCTTAGCAAACCCTAATACGTGTGTGTGTGTGCCCCATTGTGTATTTCAAGCTTTGGAAGAGGATTCTTGGTGAGAAGAGCTTGGGGGAAACATGTGGATTGAAGCAAGGAATTCGTGGGGATCAAGATCTACTTCAGTTGGCATCTTTTGGGAAGGTATTAAGCTGTTAACCCAACTCCATTTCATTCTAGATCTCTTTGGATGAAATTAGGGCTTCTTGGTTTGGTTATGAAGCTATTTGTGGGTATGGAGTCTTAGAGCCTTGCATGCACGTAAAGTTTGCAACTTTACGTGATAATCATGCCTTGGGAAGTCGGATCTGCAGTATGGAGTCTTAGCATGGCTTAAAAAGCATCTGTATGGATGAAGGACTGAAGGGACTCGGCGAGTCGCATGGTAGACTCGGAGAGTCATATGAAGATGGTCATGAACTCGACGGGTTGGATGAACAACTCGGCGAGTCCAATGAAGATTGCCTTGGACTCGGCGAGTGACATGGTGACTCGGCGAGTTGGCAGGTTATGCAAGGAACTCGGCGAGTAGCTGAAGATACTAGGCGAGTTGAGGTCAACATGGACTGTTGACCTTGATAGTTGACTTTGACTTTGACCAAGGGTTGACCGTTTTGACTTTTGAGGATAATTGGTAAGCGGGTATTTATGATTGGATCATTGATGGTTATAGGTGTTGGAGTTTGGGGCAGTGTTTCGGGAGTGTGTTTTTGTGGTTCAGTCCGACATTGCAAGGTGAGTTATCCTCACTATATCAATAGGGTCTAAGGCACCAATGCCGGCCCTTTATGGTTTGTATTTGGATTATTGCATGATATGCTTACTGATTTACATCCTGGTAGTTAGGATGGTGATATGCTATGTTAGTGACAGGTTAGGTCGATATCCTGGTTATAGGATTGTTGATATGTTTATTGATTTGTTAGATCGGCGTCCTGGTAACTAGGACGGTATTATGTTTAGTGACCTGGTTAGGGTCGGTATCCTGGTATATAGGATGATGCTATGATAGTGACCGGTTAGGTCGGTATCCTGATTAGGATGTTGCTATATTATATGATCTGCTAGATTGGTTTGTCTGTCTATGGACTGTTATGTGATTACCTGTTATATGTGCACGTGGTTATTTGCTTGTTGTGTGGGTTGAGGCGGTCCAACTTTGTACTGAAGGCCAACATACCCTACGAGCGGTCCGGATAGACTGTAGGCCCGTATGGCGGTCCAGTCATACCGAAGGCTCGGGATAAATCCAGATGGACTGTAGGCCCGGTGCGGGCAGTCCAGTCATACTGTAGACTCAGAGAGTGGACCGGGTGAACTGAAGGTCGGTGCGGGCGGACCAGTCACACTGTATACTCGAGATGCATGGCTGTTCTGTAATTATTGATATGATATGAATATGGTTATATGAGGTTGGTATTTTGGGGGTAACTCACTAAGCTTTAGGGCTTACAGTTTCAGTTTATTGTTTCAGGTTCGGCGGATGTCCGCGGGTAGGCGAAGGCGTGACCGTACACTTCCACGACTTACGATTATGATTTCTCGGGACTCTGATGTATAAACTATTTTGAAAACAAATTGTAATAATCTAATGGTTTCAAATGAATCCAAAAGTTTTAAATTGGCTCGAAAATTTGGGATGTTACAAGTTGGTATCAGAGCCTTGGTTTGAGTGAATTGGAGGAACACTCGTGTGAATCCAGTCTCAAATCAAGAAAAGATTTTCAAAATGATTTTTAATGGTTTTCAAAATAAGTAAAAGAGGATGCGAAGTGTACGATCAGCCGGAGCCAGTAAGTAGACCCCAAAATACCATACGGTTATTTGATATTGTGATATGTTAGAACAACATGCTAGTACTAGGCTAGGGATCTTCAGGAATTGCATGATAGAATTGCCTGATTACATGGCCTAGGGTTTTCCTTATATGAGATTGACATCATTACTGTAGTTACTTGTGTATGCATCACAACTGGATATAATTAAGATCTTATAGCCTGAGAATGTTTGACCTGGCCTTATGTTCTGTTCTTATTGATTAGGGCTTAGGGTAGGATTGGATATTCGAAAGTCTATAGGGTCCAACGTTATGTATGGCTAGCATACACTAGTGTTGCAGGGGTTGATGGAAGTTTCATGGATGGGTGGGTAGTGAGAGGCTGGGAGGCCAGTGATGAGATATCTAGCATTCGTCTAGAATGAGGATTTATCGCTTGCTATGTATATGTATATTGTAGGGTGTTGTGGTGATACTTGAGACAAATATGGGTAGGTATGGAAGGTAGTATGGGCCCGTACTACTGAAAGCACAGGACCCATACACGTATCAAGGAAGTCACAACCCAGGGTTGGGTTGGAGTCGGTTCCCATGATTTTGGTATGGATTATTCGAGACGTTTCGAGACCGGATCTGGATTAGGATCGAGAGCTGGCAGCCAGGATAGGCCAGTATTGTCAAAGGATCGTGTCAGGAGGGGATCATCCGGGAGTATGTGATCGAGATAGTTCGGGGACAGATTCCAGGGATGATTGGGTCTTTTAAGACTGTCATGGTTGAGTACTTCGACGAGCGCTATGCAGCCATTGCCGAAACGGTTGCCGCGGTAGCTTTAACAACTGTAACGACTGCAAAGGGAGGATCTGGTCGAGCTTCCTAGTTCTGGGACATATTCTGATGAGCAGAGGGCCGCAGTTATTTGGGATCAGGGAGATGATCTGTACTAGTTATATTTCTGAGGGTTGAGCGGGAGAGGTTAGCACGTGGGTTTCTAGATTAGAGGCTCGGGGGTTTGCTCGAGGCCGGAATGTGATTCGTGGGAACTCCGAAAGGGAGTGATGATTATGTTCAGCTGGGATTTTGCAGTTGGAAGTGGAATGGTTAATTGATGGATTGGACTGTCGTTTTATAGGGCAAGGATTGTGCCCTTTCAGTTTTCCGAGCTCGAAGGAGTGAGCAGGCTTGTGACCCCAGGATCAGGTTGTATTCTTGCTCGTGGTCAGTTGGTTGAAGGGATTGGCGATATTATTTCAGCGTCGTTGAGCTCAGGTGGGTCGATGTGGCATAAGTATTTTGTGATGTCCGGTTTGCCTTAGATCTCTTGTATCGGGCGGTAAGGGTTTATTGTTCGATCTATTACACTTTTGGAATTGTAGACTATGTCTTGGGAAGTAGTTCGAAGCCAAGGTTAGGGCAGAGGTTGCTTCAATTGTTGCAGTTCAGCTGTGGACGTTTGAGCGGGTAAGTGAGTTAGGGTGCGAGCCCTGAATAGAATGATTCTAGAGCCCGAGAGCGGGAAACTTGTTTGGAGCACCTTCAGAGAAAAGGGGTATTAGGTGGGAGGTCTACGGATAGGGTCCCACAGAAGGGTTATCCATCATCGTCAGGATTCAATGGTTTCAGCAACCGTTAGTGATTTACGAATGAAAGCGCCAAGGGAAGTGATTCGTTGCTGAGGCATTATTTGCAACATTTATCGGTCTCAAGGACATGAGGGTGGGGCATTCAAGCATTAGTGACTGTCGGTTGCACTGGGATACAGAAAGTGTTCATCTGGTTATTAGAAGTGTGTGACCAATTGGGAAAGAGTTGGTTGTCATCGGATCAATTGTGGGAAAGTGAGAAGGGTTGGGCATTTCCCCAATGTCCATGTGTTGTGAAGACTTAGTCGAATCTAAGTGGGGGAGAATCGTCCCAGGATACAGAAGCAGGAGCGGTGTTGAAAATGGGATAAGTCTCGCATCGTTGGCAGGAAGGAAGACAAACCAAGTGGTTGTTTGGTTGGAGGATTGTGTGAGTTGGGAGTTTGGTAAAACTCCCCAGCACGTGTATCACGTCTTCTCAGTGGTTGATAACAGAATTCGTGGAAATCAGGTTGGAGATTTGATCATGGTTTGAGTTCAGTTCGAGTATTCGGTCGAGGGTGTGCTCGACTCTAAGGGTTTTTGGATTGATAGATTGAGGGTTTTGTTAGCTGCCAGGGCTCGGAAATACACCCAGCACGGTAGTGCGGGTTATTTAGCGTATGTAGTAGACACGCGGGTCGGGGATGAGACCACGGATTTCCGAGGGGGTGGGCAATCGACATGAGGCCTAGGGTTAGGTTGGGGATATAGTCCACAGAGTAGATCAGGAGTTCGAAGCCCCAAGTGGGTGAGAACAGGATGCATGGGAGAGAGCATCAAGAGGGGTGGTCCAGGGAGATGCTCAACAGTTTAGAGCGGTTCGGATAGATTGAAGGCCAGTGGGGCATACCAGTCAGACCGAAGGATCGGAGAACGGTCCAGACAGGTTGAAGGCCCAGAGAGGCGGTCCAGATAGACTGAAGGCCTAGTAGGGCGGTCCAGTTAGGTTGGAGACTCTGTATATGTTTGTAGATCTATGTTCGGGTATTAAGTAGGCTGCTATGCGATAGCAATCAATAGGTCTGTTCCAAGTGTTGAACATGCTGCTGGAGCAGGCTGAAGACTCCAGTGTATTTTGGTTTGATCGGAAGTTGTTATTAGAGATCAGAAGGAGTGCGAAGGATCTTGGTGATCCCATCAGTTCGGAGTGCCTCCGAGGTTTCATCTTCTTGGATCGGGTAATACTCCAGTTAGGGACTGAGAGTGGATCCGAATGGGTATTAGTCAGTTTTGGGAAGGTTTGGGATTAGAATATCCTGTCATTCAGGTTTTGGGAACCGGGTTAGATCTTTCTCATGATCGTCTATGGCATTTGGTTGGGTTGAGGCGGTCCTGCGTTGTATATCTTCGATAACTTTATCTATCATATCACATGCTTCCTTATTTTCTTGCATTCCTATATTGTATATTGTTTCATTGAGTTTTTCACCAACCTCCTTGAAAGTCTCTTTCATTTCTTTTGCAGCTTCCTTGTAAGAGCTTTCAGTGTCATCTGTTGGAGGCCTTTTGCGTTTACTATTGCCACGAGCAATTTGTTGCGTCTCTTCAACAATATCTTCCAACCCTTCCACATCAACAGGTGAGCTTCTTTGTGTCTCTTCAGTCACATCTTCTCCAAGATCAGTAGCTCCATGACCAGTAGCTCTGTCCTTACCGAAGATTTTACATAGATTATCGAATTGGGGAAATGGTTTATCGCGAAAACATGCAGCACCTTTATGACTCTACAAGAATGGCACAAAATTAATTGGTTACTACTCATTTACAATATGTTTTAATGACACAAAATTACTACAAACATAATCATTATAGTACCTTTATGTACTCATCCCAAACTTCAGCATCGACGGTAACACAACATTTATCCGTATCCCAGCCAAATCCACTCGTGTTTGTTCCGTATACCATGTCGTGCACGATGTTGAAATGGTTTTTCCATTTCTTCATCCTCGATTTAATATGAGGCTCTGCTTTCAAACCCGAGTTAGGAAGACTTACATCTAGTAATTGTTGCACTGCCTTTAAATAACCGGGTTTGAATCCGTTATCGACACCACCATACTTTCCGAATACATGTAACTCCAAAAATGCTTCAATTAACTTTGCATCTTCTTCAGTAGTCAATGTGTGTTTGTTTCGTCCAGCCATGTGTACAAAACTTTTTACAATCCTAACATTAAACATAATATTATCATACCACAATGAATACAAAATATAATAAAACAATCATAACAGCCCCTATTTGGGGCTGTATAACTCAACCAAAACGTAACCAATTAAGCTGTTGTTTGATGCTAAAACGTAGACAAGAGAGAGGAGTGCAATCTGGAAAAAAAATCGCATCATTCCGATCAGGTATGAAGCTTTTATGATGGTTCAAAGTTTGACAAAATTTATAAAAAGTGCAGAATTATTATGCAGCAATCATTACAGCCCTTGTTTGGGGCTGTATAACTCAACCAAAACATAACCAACTAAGCTGTTGTTTGATGCTAAAACGTAGACAAGACGGAGGAGTGCAATCTGGAAAAAAATCGCATCATTCCGATCGGTATGAAGCTTTTATGATGGTTCAAAGTTTGACAAAATTTATAAAAAGTGCAGAATTATTATGCAACAATCATAACAGCCCCTGTTTGGGGCTGTATAACTCAACCAAAACATAACCAATTAAGTTGTTGGTTGATGCTAAAACGTAGACAAGACAGAGGAGTGCAATCTGGAAAAAAAATCACATCATTCCGATCAGGTATGAAGCTTTTATGATGGTTCAAATTGGAGAAAAAATCAAAAAAAATCTGAAATTGTAAAAAAAAAAATTGCTTTTGTTCATTCAACTCAATCATAAACAATGAACAAATAGAAATTGATCATCATTGAACACTTATCTACATGATTCAACCACCAAGATCGATTTCAACATAAGAACATTCAAACATGTAAAAAGAAACAACTCCTAGCAAGATTAACATATTCTTGAATTGGAGTTCAAAATCAAAATTCATAGCAAATTAACACAGAATCGACCAACAAGTAGAATAAGAAAGAAACATGAACTCATACCTTCAACTAGAAGAGGATCGATGATGCCAAAATCGACCAAGAAAAGTGAAGCCGTGACTTGGAGGTTTTGAAAACAGAGAGGAGCAAGGCATATGTAGGGCAAACGAGAATTCTTATGATCACTTACGTGGGCCGATTCCATGATATCCAGTAGTGATCGTTGAAAAAACTCAGAAATTTCATGGACCGGGGATCGAATGGGGGACACGATGAATTCTCCGTTTTTTTATTCTCTACCCACGCACGATATGAGTAGCGATCCTATTTCTCCCTTTTTCTCTTTTAAAAATAGAGAATTATTTGGATGGAAAAGGAATTGATTTATTTCCCAATTCCTTATTTTTTTATTAACCAAACAAGGGAAAATGAATTAATTCCTTTTCTCTGCTTTTATTTCCCTGTACCAAACACCCCCTAAGTGTGGTTGGATTGGGTGATTTGATGAGCCCATGTTCCCTAGATCGGTGGAAGTAATACTTGGGTTACTCAGGTCTGTGAACAAGCTCTAACAATCCCTTCAACAAGATACAATGCAAGCAAGGATGTATAAGTTAATCCTTTTCTTCAGTTGGGGTCTTTTTACAATTCGTTACCTGAAGCATGGTTGAAGTTGTGTCTGAATGTGGTGTCTGAAGGCAGGAAGTATTATTTTGGTCGTAGGGTTAATGAATTGGTGGTCTTATTTTGAGTATGAATGCAACAAATTGTGGTCTTTGTGTTTTGTTGTCGGAATGATGTAGTCTTTGTTATTTAGTTTATGTATTTTGGCGTCATTGGATGATCTAATTTTAAAAAAAGGTTGATGTACCATGTTTTATGTGTTTTGTATTGTTTCCATTTGCCCATACACCTTGAATATCACAACATCAGTTGACAAGAACAACAATATAAATAAAAATGTTATTGTATATCACAAAAGTAGTTGAAATTGTTTCATTTTCAAACTATGTGTACAATGATTCAAGGTCAACATGCATGGCCATACAAAATAAGGAGCCCAAAGTAAGTAATGGTTGTTACATACACATAGCTATCAAAACAACCATAAACCAAAGTGGAAAAGTACATCAAAAGACCTAATACCTAACACTAACAACAACATCCCCTCTTCACTTATCCTTCCATTTCTCTTTTTCAACCCCATTCTTCTTTCCTCTTGTCTCTAGTTCTTTTCTCATTAGTACTACCTTGACCTTTACAAGTACGTGAATTATGCCTTTTGTTCTTGCATTTTCCATACGTGATAGTGGTCCACTTCTTTGACAGTTTATGCCCCTATCTAGCGGGTTCATCATATGCCCTTTTCCTTTTCTTCTTGGGCCTACCTACTATAACGCCTGTAGATTCGGGCTAGTCAATTTAGAGAAAATAAGCGTCAAAAATGACTTTTTGATGGAAGATTATTTAGAATGAATATTGTTAACCAAGTTATAGATTATGTCACAAGGGTTCCGTACATATAAAGAACGCCGAAATCCGAGTTATAACGAATAAGTTATGGCCCGTCGAAGTTTTTCGAATAAACCGGCACGACACCGCGTAACATAAAAAGTGAATTTTAAAAAATTACTTTTTAGCCTTAGAAATCTGAACAAAAGTTTTAGTATACATTAAACCGATAACGTACATAAAAAGAACGTCCAAATCTGACTTCGTATGAGGAAGTTATGATTTTTTCTATGATTTAGCATAACAGTGCACAACCCGGAATTCAAATTTTTAGATCGATCGATTTTTAGCAGACACAACCTAAATGACAATTGAAGATCTCATTAATAGGAGCTCAACGATAAAAAGACAGTAAAAAACGGAGCTCGTATGTAGAAGTTATGAATTTTACACGGTCGTTAAACAGTGTAATCTTCTCATACTATTAAATTGAAAATTAGTCGAGAATTAGCCGATAGAGTTAAAAGTAGATTTGTAGATCTTGTCAATACCTACGCGTGGATATAAAGAACGTCGAAAACGGAGCTCGTATGCGAAAGTTATGGAATTTAGAAGTCAGGAGTATGTTGTTGCGAAGAGGGTGACGTGGCTGAATCTAGGCCCTTGCTTTCTCCCTACGCCTTGCCACCAGATGGTGACATGTGGCACACCAACTCGACAAGTTGGAGGCTCAAACTTGATGATTTGGGCCATTTTCCAGCCTATAAATAGGATGCGAGAGCACCCCAATTTCTTCACACCAAAATCCTTTCTCTCTCTCTCTCTCTCTCTCTCTCTAACTTCTCTCTAAGCCCTCCCAAAGCCCTAGTAACTCCTAATTGCTAGAGGAAAGCCCTGGAGCACCAGAAGGCTCCGAAAAGAAGGGCTTTCGGCTCGGCAGTTTGCCCCCGTAGAGCCTGGTTCCTAGCGAAACCTCCTGGTAAGTGAGATATGCTTACCCTGCTCTAAGTATAGCTTATGTTTAAGTTTATTATTGTTATTATGAACTTATAAACAATATATATATATATATATATATATATATATATATATATTATAAAATAATATATACAAAGTTTTATTATAATATCTTTTAACTACTCGCGGTACGGGAAATCTGGTTTGAAGGGCCGTATAGGGTTGTTGGATTTTAGAAGTGCTATAATGTCAAAATGGTCCTGCCCTCCGGTGTTTCATGTCTGGCCCCTGTCTATACATAGTGGTTAAAAAGTATTGTTTAACACTTATAAAACAATATCGCTCGGAAATAGTCGCAAGAAATATTAGACTAAAATCTAGCGGTAATGATACTAGGTTTCGTCGAAGGAAAATAGAATCGTTAGAAGCGACGCGCTGCCTGAGTTTGGGAGCATCACTTTAACAAGTGAGTGCATAGTTACTTTCATCTTACACATACATATGAAGCATTTAATATATACGTGCTATGTGTGCATATTATTTGTGTTCCTGATATCTATGTTGGATGAACGATGTATACATGTTTTAAATGATTTAAACTGTATATGTATTTTATATCTACGAATATGTTGGGTAGAACATGGGTAGATGAATGATGAGGGATGAAAGATGATATAGATGAATATTGGCAACTGCGCCACAACCTGTAGATGTTTTTGAACCATGATGTACTCTAAACATTCTGACAGCTGCGCCTAAAGGATAATATCAGTAGTTGCACCTAATAGAGAACATCATAATCCTGGCAGCTGCGCCTAATAGAGAACATCATAATCCTGGCAGTTGCGCCTAAATGATAATGTCGGCAGTTGCGCCCAATAGAGAACATCATAATCCTGACAATTGCGCCTAAATGATAATATTGGCAGTTGTGCCTAATAGATAACATTGGCAACTGTTCCATTGGCAGTGATGGACTTCGTGCCTATTCCTTAGGACAATCCTTAGGAATGAATGAATGAATGATAGATGATTCTTAGGGTAGATCCTTAAGAAATAAAGAAGATAATGGGGATGGGTAATTGGGTTAATTGTTTGATGATGAAACATAATAACTTTATTATTGTGGGTTGAAAAAACCCTATGTACTCACCCGGTTTCCCAACCTGACCCACTCAGTTTATCTGTATCACAGGTGTCGATACGAAGCTACATTACACTGAGAGATTAAAGGAGATGTAAATCACTAGTGTAAATGAATGTAAGGTCTGTTTATGCTTATGTTTCTGCATTGACGATGACATCCCAAAGTTTTAATACAAGCAAAAGAATACATTTCTTCGGAAATGCTTTGATAATATATTTATCATATTTTCTGGGTACAAATTCCGCAATATTATTCTCTAAAATGAATACTCTGATTTTCAAATAAGCATAAATAAAATTTTTAAAATGACCCTGAATTTGGGGATGTCACACCTACCTACAAATGTATATAAGATTAAGTTAATTTCAATGACTCACTGCACTTATAATGACAAAAAAATACATACATGAACAACATGTTTGGGTGGAAGCAATTTGGTTGGGCATGGTGTTCTGTGTCATATCAGTCTACCATTAATTGGTGCAATTTTGTGTGTGTACACTTCTGCCCATGTAACTAGCCAATAGCATGGGTGGACCCACTGCTCCAACTCAGGAACATTCTTTGCTCCATGTCCAATTTGTCCCATATT